AGAGCTTTCTTGTTGTTCGTCTCTTTTATATAGTATAGTGTTCTACTATGAAGACTGTTGTCAGCATTTTCATCATCGCAATCTTGATGGTAACTCTAACGTCAAGTTCATTTATCAAAAAAGGTTTGTTGATAACGGCATACACCATCCTATGAGACACAGTACATGTATCTACTTAGCAAAGAACCCTGCAGCTGGCATATTAGCATCCACTGCACTAAAGAGGCGGTCCTGACTTAGTGAAGCAGTCTCACTATAGCTCTCGTAGGTGAAATCCTAAAATGCCCAATTCAAATTAAGGCAGCCAAGCATAACTCTTCTTTGGTTTTGTTTAGTATGTGACTTATTCAGTGCCTTACAGTCAGTGAAGAAAATCCAGTGAGTTTGACAATTCAAAATAACCTACTAAACAGAAAAGTAGTTTCCTGTGGTACTGTTTATTACTAGCTGTACGATGGGTTCTAACCTTAGAGTCAGTGGATGAAATCCTGACTCTCCCGGCAATTAATTCAAAACGATTGTACCCTTATAATAGCAATGACAGCTTAGAATGCTTTCATTAGGAAAAAAACTGCAACCCGTCGATTTTGGATTTCGCGATAAAACTCGTCACATGAAAGATTATCTCCGTTTTTTAAACAGATCAACAGTTCTCCGAAATCAAGACTTTAAAATGCAAACCAAAACGTCTTGCAGGGATCTTTGTCCAGAGGCAAAATCCCAGTGTGTAATTACCCCACGGAATTACCTATTACCAAAATGGCTTGCTCTTAGTTTGCATCCACTACCGAACAAAGCGAGCCACAAAATACAACTATCTGAGAAAGCCTGAGCGACCAGACCGCGAGGGAATATGAGAAATTTTATCAAAAAGATTCCAAAAACCAAGAGAACATAAAAGGTCCTTTTCTGTTCCTTTGCCCAAACTCAGCTATGAAGCACAATTCTTTTGTCATAAAACGACAAAGATAAACGCTTGTGAGGTTTTATACCATTCCATGGCACATGACAACCGTGAAGTTATGACCCAAAATTATAAAGGACTTTACAGCTACCCACAAATGGGGTCTTTTCTTGTGTGCTTGAGGCCTTAAAATCTTACCTGTTCCAGGCTCCAAGATAGCGAGGAGAGCGGATAGAGAAAAGTTGCGATTAAAACCGCGTGGAAGCTGTAAGCACAGCTCTTGGTATACCTTCTGATTGGTAAATTGTGACAGTTTACTTCAACACTTAAGTTAATCATTTGGCTTCGCGCTCGCAGTGTCTAACAAACAAATTGAGCTAGTGAAACCCTCCTACACCACACCTTTGGACGTTTTGGCATTTAACATTTTGACACGAGAACGGTTTTTCAGGAAGTGGCTGGGGTAATGGGTAGTCTGTTACACAGCCGTTTTTAGGAGCGTTGCGTGACGACCCTAAAAACTGCTGTGTTGCACACCAGGTAATGGGTGGATTGAGGTATGGTTACACGCTCTCCCCTTCTTTCTCCTGCTGTTTTTCGCTCGTTTGCTATGACTGCTCGCTCGCATTTTTCGTTTGTTCGCACTGACCGAGAGCCTGGTACAGGCTAATTGAAATCCGACATTGAAATAGGGTCATTTTTTTAAACCTCTTTTCCAGGGTCCTCTGATCTCCAACTCTTTCTCCGGGGAACGAGTAGGAGAGAACCCAAAAAAAGCTGTTCGTAAAATGAAATGCCCTTCAATCTATAAGTTGTACTAACTCCATCTAGTAAACTCAAGAAACTGATTTTTCTACTAATCAGTTCGTTGCTTCTTTTTTGATGTTGTTTCAGTTTGTTGTTTTTTTTTTCTGTTTTTCAAACCAAATCTTTCATGAGAGATAACGCCTTTTTTCTTATTGTAACCTTAGATCTGAATAAAGCCAAACGATGGTCATCTCACATTCCGGAAGAATGCAACACGTTCAAACAAAAGGCTTGCTATGATTCATGTTATGAGAGAAATTACGGAGAAAGTCTTTTCTGTAAGAATCAATGCAGTTGTGTCAAGAAGGACAATTTCAACGGAACGGTAAATTGTTGTTGATATTAGTACCAAACTGCACATAAACGTAGTTTCTTTGTATTGCAAGAGCCTTGAGGAAATGACAACTTATATGTTGTTGAGAGTTTGGTATCCAAACAAAGCATCCGAGTTAATCTATGCACGTTTTATACTGTAAAACAGTCCGTAATTTTGCGGCGTCAAAAACGCGCACATGTGCGGTCAAAGGAAAGTTCAGTAAGAAGTACGGACCGGTTATTTATTAGGGAGCTTTAGCAACGACGACGGCGACAGCAACGAGGACGTCAAAAAGCAATAGGCTTATATTAGCAAAACAACAACTTTGCACGTGCATCACGCTTTTTTGTACATTTTTTTACCGTCCTTGCACGACTACGACGTGAAAATGCCTAATTACAAGTTTTTTGGAGGACGTAAACAAGCGACGATGAAATCTCTTTTTCTCTCTCTAAACCTGACTGCGGTCCTCAAGAAATCAACTCCAGGGAAATTCGCCTCCACTTGCCATTTTCAGCAAATTGGAATAAACGCAACAAAGATTGAAAAAACGGAAATTCATTTTAAAACTGACGTTTTTGCTGCCGTTGCCGTCGTCGATGCTAAAGCTCCCTATTAGCAACGACGACGGCAACGACAGCGACAACGTCGCTATCAAAATTAATTTTTCAAACTTTTTTACGTGATTAATTGCAAAAAAGATGTTGTTTTCCTTGGTAAGCATATTGCTTTTTTTATAGGGTTCTCCTTGCCGTTGCCATCGTCGTTGCTTAAGCTCCCTTAATCTCGTACCCATATCTCCCACGGCCAAGGGAAAGGGAAAAAAGCGAGAGATCTGGGTACGAGATTAAAGCTCCCTAAATAGATCAGGACAGAAGTTTGTCTAGAACAGAGCATCATCAGCTAGGAGATGGCTAACTGAACAGTCAGAATTGAGATTCTGGCTAACAGTTGTATTGAGATAGGTATTTTGAGGGATTTTTAGGCCCCGTTTATATGGAAAGACATCTCCTTAGAAAATGTGGCGAACCATGAACATGAAAAACAAAGAGCTGGCTGGGCTAGAGAGGTGAGCAGCCTAGCCTGGCCTTTTGTGATGGTATACAGTTACCCTCCTAGTAGGGCCATTATGTTAATTAAACACGTTCGCTCACCCAGCCTGGGCAACTTGCTGAAGACGGGATAATCAGAGCATGCGCAAGTGCAGTCGGCTCAGGCAAAGAGGTCATTGTTTAGGGATTTCTTTTAATATATTCTTTTTTCACAGTAAAAGGAATAATTTGTAAAGATCGGTCACATGAAGAATTGTTTGATCGCCTGTGATTTTACCTTTTGAGAATCCTCCACCCTGATCTTTCGCTGCTCGTTCACGAGCTGTTCATCTCTCGATCACGTATTCCAAATGGCGAGTTTCAGGCTCGCTGGCTGATTTTCAGTAATTTGCAAAAGAATCGAAGATAACAGAGAATCTAACCAAGGTTGCCGTATAAGATAAGCCTCGTTCCCAGGGTTCCTAAGTACACGTATTTTGATTTCATGGATTTTTAAAATTATTCGCTAAAAGGAGGATACTGAATATAGTTTATACTCATGAATAAGTGACATTCAAGCCAACCACCCGCATGCATTAAACTGCTTAAATTGGGCCTGTCGCAAGCCCAATTGTGAGGCTCACAGTTCATTTCAAATCAAAGATATTAATCTATGTTGTGTGTTTATTTATTTTAGGACGGCTTCCCTTACCAAGAATAAAAAGACGCGTCGCATCATCTCCACGCATTCAATGTAATCATAATTGTAATGTGTTGGCTGCGTGGAAAATAAAATGAATCGTAAAAAATGTATGCCTCTTTTCTACTCGCAGTCAATTGAATTATTAACGAGTAGAGCACGTGTACGCCGTTCATTTCGAGTGGTCAGCGAAGCGAGCGGCGATAGCGCGCGAGTAAGCAGGCTGATGGTCCCTTATTTTCCTCACTGAGGCAAATAAAAATGTCACTCATTAATTTTCAGTTTTTCTTGAATCGCCTCAGCCGGGGCCATTATGCCAGTAAACCAGTAGAGAGTTTTTTTCATTGCTTTTATATAATACCTTTTACTGGCAAAAACAACGTTAGTAATAGTAAAAGTAGTAGAAAATTTATTGAATCTCCCAATCACAATATATCTGGCCCAACGTACATAAATATGTAAATAATATATAGATTAAGCCAAAGCTAAAAGCAAAACTCTTGTGGAATCTTTCAAGAAATACCTTTTTGCTGTAATTCAACGTTTGTCATATCAAGAAGCAAACTGAATTCCTCTTAAAAAAATGGAAAACCAATGACTGGTGAGCAAAAAACTTTAAAAAAATACATGACATCGATGAGTTGTAACTGAGCCCGCGATACAGTAATGTGACACTGGTCAGCGGATACCCATTTTTTGGAGCTGTCAATAACAAATAACAAGGATGACTAATATCAAGTAAAACACAGATTGTAGCTTGGATTCTAAGCTAGTAAATGTGACATTTCACATCCGCTGACGTAAAGGGATGGGCGTAGTACGTACGGACGATTTTGTCACAATTTCTTAAAATCCCTGATAACCAAATTTCATTAACCATGGTGCTCCGCTGCTCAAGAGCTCCGCTAATTAATATGATAGATAAGAAATACTGGAAAAAATATATATACATTATTACAAATAAACCAGCAAACGGTAACTGTCCTAACTAACAACATAAGATTCAAAGAGAAATTCTCTCAGTTTCTTCCTAAACGTCTTCAAGTTGTCAGCTGAAGTTACCATATCTGGTGATGAAATGTTAATTTTTTTTCGATGTTTATAGACAACAGTTTTTTTAACCAATGAACAGAGCTTGGTAGTACCTTATTTTATAAAATAAGAAATGACCTCACGGTTGGCAAGCGTCTGTATGCCTTCTGGTAAGAAAGGTAACAAAGCAAGATCTTCGAATACAGCTTCTAAAAGGGATTAAGTAGTACTTGAAAATGCCACATGGGTCTAAAAACCGGGAGGAAGAAACTTTTAAAGACAAGATAAAGGATGTGTTGAAAAAGCTGAAAGAGGAGAAACCAAAAAACGAGGCAGGTGTAATAAATCCTTCGACGTTGCCAGGAAATGATATTAAGATATCAGTAAGTTCTTCATGTTCTCACTTAAATTTTGTATAATATTCTTGACCTGATACAACCTGCAAACATGATATTGCGACTCGTGCGGATTGACAATACTGACTGGGGACAGAATCAACCTGTTTAGTTTGTCAATCGAACCCTTGAATAGCGGACTGTAGGTTTGTTCTGGGCCCCGTTTCGCGTTGCCGTTGAAATAAATTCGGGCTCTCGATACTTAGGAAGAGTTGTCAATGCGAAAGACGTCGTATTTCACCAATCAGATCCTGATTTTGTTAAATTTCAGGATTTGACGTAGATGCAAAATTTACAACTTACGCTTTCGGGAAAGCCGTGCACCTGCGAATTTCAGAAAACATATCTGCCTTTGAAATGCAAATATTAACAAAAACATCCTCCAAGCGGGTTTCAAATTCACCGAAAATAATCGTAAAATTTACAAATATAACATTTTCCGCTTTTTTTGGCAATTTTTTTCTCCTTTTAAACAAGCAAGAAAAATTCTGTGCGAAAATCGAATGACATTTTGGCTCGGTCTCAAAATTTTATAATGAATGGTCAGAAGTAGTTCTCCAAAGATTAACATAATAAGTAATTACCCAATGCCACGCAATAAATTTGATACAGATTCGCATTCATAATGTTTTGTAGTATTTACATAAAGGCAATATGCTTGATGTAGGACAAAAAGTTCAATTACAGCTTTATTGAATTTTCTTCTGACATCACAAAATTTAGAGTATTTTTATCAGTACTGATATTTTATTGATCCAGTAATTGGTTTGTAAGAAAGAGGAACCAGAAACGCTTTGACTAATTACAGTTTCATTGTATAACAGAAGAAATGATGGGATTTAGAACAACATTTCATATTATTAAATTTCAAAAGTAGGTTGAGTTTGATCGTCCGTGTGAACGTAGTCCTCAATAGGACTGTTGTTGATGACAGTCACTGACGTTTCGAAAACGTTTGTTTTTCTGGCACCAATCAGAAGCCAGAACAGCGGCGACCGTTTGGAACTGGTCTGGTAAGACATTGTCCCCAGGGGCTCTTCTCGCCGTTCTTTACTTTTGTTCGTGCCATATTTTCCCGCCCGTTTAGACTTTCCCTCGCCCCCACTATCTGCCCCTGGGTCTCCGAGGATGAATGATACTTGATAATATGGAAGTTTTAAATGACGAGGAAACCATTATACAAAGGATTGAGTACGTGTTGGACAAAGTTAAAGAGAAGTCAACAGAAGCAGATAAGGAGATAGAAAAAATCCTCAGCAACTGCTAGGAGGATACTAAGATAAAAGTAATTCTCAGAGTCATGGGTGCATGGGTGCGAGGAGGTTGGAGAGCAGTCCGCAAAGGATCGCAAGGCAAACTGTCGGCGAGCTCAGTTTCAAAACCGTCAGCAGGGATCTCCGTGATCCATGTCTTTTCGCTGATTTTAGCTACAATTATGCTAAATTCATTGTACTATCTAAATTGTTACATTTTTCCCTAAGAAGTGGCTTAATTGTCTTTTAAAAATGTAAGTCATCGTTGACAGTTAGCTGGCGAAAGACTTCTCGTATACAGAACGAGCTGTGCACTAACAATGTATCAAGTATGTCATCCAATGTGTGTTCACCTTTCCAGAGAGCGAAATGTATAACAAATAATGACAGATTAAAATTCAGTTGATGGTCAATAGTGTAATGGGCTAGACGAATATTCCACAATATCCACATTGAAATAACGCGATGGATCGCTCCAATTCACTGGATATTTCGATTCTTGAAGACTTTCAGCAAAGATTGATGTCATGACACAAATAAAGTTTTAGAGCGATTTTCGTATGACCTTGAATAATGGTTTCGGTAAGTGTTCGTTATTTGACTAAAGATCAAAACATGGCCTCTACGTTTTCCCACCAAAGGAAAACCTAATATCGAGAAGGCATTGTTCAATGGCAAATCGTGTTGCAGTATGACGTCAAAGCGAAGTATCAGTTGAATTCTAGAAAGTTCTAGGTCTTCTAGGTCATGAAGTTTTTTCACCCGAGCGTTCGCTTAACCAACCAAAAGCCACGCGCGTTTGTATAAGTTCGATAAACCAAATCTCTCTATTTCCGTTCGTTCGTTGTTTCTGTTTTCTTTGCGCGTTTTCTTTTCAAGGTCATGTGAAAATCGGTCTATCCTTGAATAAAGTGCACTCTATATTCATACAACACAGCTTTAGCAAACGCAAGGGTCTGTCACTAGATACTGGACCACTATTAAAGTATTGCTATTCATAATCAAGTTGGGGAAAGAAAAATCTCAAGAAAATTAGTCATAAAAAAATCCTTTACTTTTATAATTGTCGATATATAAATGGACTACTGCCTAGACCTTCTCCATGCCTCCGTTATGCCTTAGTTTTGTTTTGAATTCTCCTGGGAGCAAGAAGCTCAAGAATCTAGGTTTTCAATTAAGACTATAGGATCCCACGGGATTCCAATTCTTTCCGTCTTTGTTGTTTGTATCATGAACCATAATTCAACAATAAGGAGGAAGGAAACAGGCATGACATAAACCCAGCCATGCTTTTAGCTTGGGAAAACGGGAAACCGCGTTCAAACCTGTTTTGCAACAAATCAGCCTGTTTTGGTGCAAGAAACGTTTGATTTGTGGGTGCTACGACGCCCAACATCACTTTTCAACTCGTTTTGCAACAATGTTGCCGGTACCACCTTGGTGTGAGCAATTCTGAACCATTTCTCTTGAGGGCCATCCCACATAATGGGGCGTGAAAGTGTAGCTCAGAGTCCACGTCCCTGTCACTTTCCCTGGTTGCCCGTTTTAAGGGCCATAGGGGAGACTAGTCAGACTACAGTGTTACTATAATTATGCACCCATTGAAATAAAGTGTCATTCATTCACGTCCATATACCTTATTCAAGACTAAGCTATACCCTAGTTCAGTGCACAAAGGTTATTTTTAGACAAAATGGCCCTAAACACTTTTCCTTTGGCTCGGCACATACCTGCATAACTCGCACATTGTAAAAAGGACAATTTATAGTTCTTTTCTCTAGACTTCTCTGGCTTCTTGTTTATCAGGATGTTGTAGTCCTTTTCTTAATAGAGCACATTGTATCACTGTAAAATCGGCGAGAGACACGTTTTACCGACTTAAAAATGGAAAAAATAAAGCTTTCCCTCCCTCATCCCCTCCATGCAATGTTGTGACGCGTTCAAGCTACCTATAGAAACCACCCAACACCACACCTTTGGATGGAGGGGAAGGGGAGGGGTGTGGATTGTTTTGTTCTCCGAAGTTACCCTATTTCAGTACAATGTCTCAACAATTTTGTCGCAGATTGTAGGTCTAAAGGGCAGTGAACAGTCATATTGTCTTTTATATTCACCTACATTCACAATCAAAATTCATCTTTTTTGCATTTAGTTTGGTACAGACGAGGCTGGACAGGCCAAGATTGAGGCAGTGAATAGCGCATTTAACCCCAAAGAAATAAACATTATGGAAAAAACAAGAGCAACAAACAACTCAACAGAGAATGAGCCGGGCAATAACAATCCACAAGGCAAGGGTATAATAGAACATGGAGAATTTGCAGATCTCATAAAACGCGGCCTTCGAGAAGGACTGAAAGGCAAGGTGTTAAAAGAATTAGAAAGCCAATTCGAGTGCGAATTTCTTACAGCACAAGTCGATATTTGGGGCTGGAGTGTACAAAAATCAAAGGCAAGGTTCTACAGTGGAAAAATGGATGCAGTCGCTATTCGTGTAACTGGGCCTAAACCAGAAGTTTTGGTTGTTGACTGGAAGACCATCGACGCTAAAAAAGAGGATTCAGATTTAAGCACTTGGTGGGAAAAAGCTAAAAACTTTAGAGTTCCTCTTTATCAATGTTTAGTGTACCGCGAGCTTTTGGCAAAGCATTTATCAAACGACCTTGACGTAAAAGTTGGCGTTATGATAGTACCCTATCATCAATCGCATCCGGAGCTGCTTAAGCCAGGGTTATGCGTGGACTTCACGGAAATGGAAGAGAAAGGCTTGCTAGCGGGACTCAAAAAATATCGATGGTGTTCCCAAGACTCTGAAGTTGTCCACACTATAAAGTTCCCCGGATGTAAGCTATTTAAAAAGCTAAAAATCCTGAATGAACTTCAATGTGTGGATAAAAGCACTGAACTGTTAAAAGATGGAGCTTTATTGAAAGATATAATCAGTGACGATGCTACAATTGGAGTCTTGCGTGAAGAGTTGGGCCTTCTGCTATTAAAGGTGACTAATGAAGTAGAAAAAGAAGAAGAAGAAGAAGAAGAAGAAACAAGAGTAGAAGGAAGAGATGGAGAAGATGGAGTTAGTGGTGGTAAAGGAGGAAGAGGAAGAGAAAGAAGAGCAAACCAAGTAGGAGATGGAGTGGGTAGAAGTGGTGGAGAAGGAGAAAAGTTAGCGTTAGAGTTGGGGTTAGTGTTGGTATGGTTAGGGGTAGGGGTAGGATTAGGGTTAGGGGTAAGGGCAGGGGAAGGTTTAGGGTCAGGGTTAGGGTTGGTATGGTTAGGGGTAGGGTTAGGGTTAGGGTTGGGGTTAGGGTCAGGGTTGGGGTTAAGGGTAGGGGTAGGGTTAGGGGTAGGGGTAGGGGTTGGGGTGTGGGTAGGGTCAGGGTTAGGGTTAGGGTTTGTAGGGTTAGGTTTAGGGGTAGGGGTAGGGTTAGGTTTATTGTCAGGGTTTGTAGGGTTAGGTTTAGGGTTAGGGTTAGGGTTAGAGTTACGTTAGAAGACAACGAGATAGAGAAGGAGAAGAAGTAAGAGATGGAGATTGTGGTGGTGGCGGAAGAAGAGAAACAAGAGTAAAAGGCGATTGAGGAGGCAGAAATAGTGGAGGAGAAGGAGAAAGAGGACGACGACGAGGCACAGAATGAGAAAAAGAGAGTTTTTGGTGGTGGCGCAGGAAGAGGTATGAGAAAAGGATGAAAAGGAAGTGGAGGACATGGAGATTGTGGTGATGGTGGTGGAGGAGGACGAGAAAGAACAGTACAAGAAGGAGAAGATGCAGAAGGTTGTGGGAGAAGGAGGAGGATGAGGTAGAATTGGAGGATGAAGAGGAAAACAACGGGTTAAAGAAGGAGAAGGAGGATGAGACGACTGAGATGAAGATGGTGGTAAAGGAAAAGAACGAGGGGAGAATGAAGAGGAGTAGGAGAACGAAAAGAATAGGGAAAATGAAGAAGAGTTAGGCTAGTCCCTAGGCGTTCCCCACATCGCCGTCAAACGGCTGAGCATGCGCGAGAAATTGCGCGGGGATCACTTTTAAGGTTAAGGCGTTCCCTCTTGACCCGTTGTCCGAACAAAGTCTGGAAAAAAGCGGGCGAGAGAGAGAGTCTCTCTCGGTGACGTCACAGCTCACGGTAGAGTCCAGGATTGACCGAGGCGAGAACCCTTAGGGACTAGGCTGAGGAAGAGTAGAAAATGAAGCGAAGCGACAAGCTGAACAACATCAACACAACATCCTACACAACCAGATCCTTAAGGAAAAAGATGTAGTTAAATATCTTGGCGTCACTGTGCACCATAAGCTGTCTTGGAACGAACATATATGCTCTATAGTTAAGAAAGCTAACTCATCCATTGGTTTTCTCAGACGAAACCTACAAATTCACCAGAAACACATCAAAGGTAATGCATACAACAGTGGCGGATCCAGACCTTCAGATAAGGGGGGGGGGGCGGTCATCCAGACCCTGAGATAAGGGCCTCAGTTTGGTCTAAAAATAAGGGGAGCCCGGCCCCCCCGGGCCCCTCCCCTAGGTCCGCCACGGTACAAGACTCTTGTTCGACCACAAATCGAGTATGCGTCTACTATATGTGATCCTTTGACCCAGGAGAACCAAAATAAACTTGAGGTGGTACAGAGAAGAGCTGCCCGCTTTGCTTGTAACAACTACTGACGCGAAGTGTCACTACCATGCTTGATGAGCTTGGCTGGCGCAGTCTCGAGCAGCGAAGAGCAGACCAAAGATTAATTATGTTATAGAAAATTGTAAATAACCTACAGTAGTTAAAGCTGATCTTTCTAAAGAACTTAGAAGATCTTAGAACACTTACGAGACACTTTAGAAATAGTCACGCCAACTCCTTTAGAATTCCCTACGAAAAGAAACCCCATCTTCAATACAGCTTTTTACCTAGAACTATAAAGCAGTGGAACAGTTTGCCCGCCACACTAGCCACAGCCCCAAGTCTTAATGTTTTTAAGAGTGGGGTCTATTTCAGGGCGGAAAAACGTAATGAGCATGCGTGAACTTTTTTGCCCAGATCCCCTGGCCGGGTTTTAAAAAATGGCGGGATTTCAAATATTTTATTGCCTAAAAATAAAATGTTTCCACTCATAACCTAGAAAGAACAGGCAATTTTTCTTCAAAAGTTGCAAGCTGTGGTTATAACCTTGTCGTTAGTTAATTTTCTCGAAGAATACCTCATAGTAAAACGGACTTTAACGACACCAATTTCCTTACGTTTTACTGGAAATGTACATGCGTAGGTCCGATTTTTTTCAAGATGCATTCACAAAATGTGTTCATATAAGGAAGTTCCTGGATATATAAGGCCGGGAGCTCCACTATGGACACAAAAACAACATATCTTTGGACAGTTATCTGCCTCAAAAAATTAACGCTTGCCCACAATGTGTTTGAAGGCACTGAACTTTGTCGCACTCGAGATGATATTTTAAAACCCTCGCTAGATCGGACACTCGTAGTTTCGCAGATCACTAAAATATAAACAAAATCCTCAATGTGAAAGTTATTGCGTTGATATGCGGGCAGAAAAAAGGTCAATCTTTATCTAGTAAAATCTTCCCGAAAATCGGTTTCAAAGCAACTATAGTTTTTTTAAACTTGCTCGTTTCGCGCAGATAAATTTTGCTTTCTGTTGTCAAGTTGAACACGCATAACATGTGTCAAAAACCTACACGTAAGTAGGATTTCCTTCAAACAAAGTTAAAGTTACATTATTTCAAAAACTTCTTGCTGACAATGAAGAAATGAATTTTCTGTGCGAAAACAACCTATACCTAAAGATCTTAAAAGCAAAAGATCAGTTGCAACTTGGCAGCCAAGCCATGATTCACCATTTAGCTATTTTCAATAAGCTTAACTGGTCCATGCGAGGGTCTTCGTTTAAGCAAATTAAACTCAGCCGATCGTTAGAAAATACAGAAAATTAGACATAAGGGTTGTTTTGCTCGCCTCAGTTGCAGCAATTGTTTACGGGAAAGGAGTCAATTGTTTTGAAGTCACTGCCGGCAGTTGTCGTTCTCTATTTCACAGCGAGTGAAAAGGACAATTTGCGTACAGAAAGTTATTCTTATAAAGAACAGAAACTTTCACAGTGCACTGGAAAACAAAACTATGTAATGAAAAATGAAAAAAACTATGCCTATTATTACTTAAGCAACAGAAAAATGATCTTGAGTAAGCTTGCTGGCCTTCCATTTCAAAGAAAGTTTAATAAGCGCACAAGTTTGCTCACTCTGATGCGTTATGAGTCAGCAGTATCGTTCTTTCACTGAAGACAAAGATAAAGCTGGTTCTGCAAAGGTAATAAATCTGGGCATGTAAAAAACGTAACCGTAACTACTAATAACAGAATACGAGCGGGTTTTAATTCAACCCGGCGAAATCAACTCATAAATTAATCGGGTACAGAATCAGAAAAATACTCGCCTCTTAAGAAATGTTCAAAACCTTTTATTCCACCTCAGACTGACGGAATGATTCGTTTTTCCTTTAACATTGGTTGTTCTGAATCCAAAGTAATTTTCAAGCGACCAAAAAAAAGCAAACATGTCAAATAAAAATGCTTTACAGGGAGCAAACGTTCGCACCTCGTGCATTTCACTCAGAACTCAAGCACCAAACGAACACAGTCAACACACAGAAAAGCCCGCCTTGAGCCTGCGATAAGGGATGCGCAGAACGTTTTTCCGCCCTGAAGGAGTCTATCAGCTGAAACATTAAGAACCTTTACGAACCTGACCGAATCCGAGCATATACAGTAAGCCTTGTAGAGAGGGAATACTTGTAAGATGGTAAATGTAAATGTACAACAACACAAGACAATATCAAGAAGGGTAAGAAGACGAAAAATAAGGAGAAGAAACGCATCAGTACGAAAAAGGGTAACTCTAAGAAAAGAACCAACTGGAACAAGAACAACACTGAACATTGTTTGTTGCAAAGCTACTGACTTAGGAACAATTAGTTCCGCTTTCAAGTAAAAATAGGGAACTACTCCCTTCAGCTATTTTGTTCCTATTCAATATCATTTTTCCCCAGATTAGCTTAAAGGAAACAATTGTTACCCGAGTTTGCAGAAAAGAACGTTCCGAAATCACATATCGGAACAACAGGCAAAAACAATTTGTTAAAATAACGCTTAAAAATTCTTTAAGGAATGGCAAAGAGTTAAAAGAACTTTTGCATTGAATAGATCAAACAGGCAAACTTTGGCTTCGGTATTGTAATCTAGTTAAAAGGTGGAGAACTCAGTCGGAAATATTGTGTCTATACACGACCATCACCCGACTCCCGTTAGAGGGTGTCGGACAAGTGTGACTGCCACGTGTAACCTTTCCTCACCTGACTTGTGACGCACAAGCCAAAGCTGAAAACGAGATCGAAATCAATACACCGACCTCTTCCCCCCGCCTCCGAATGCTGCGTAAGTTGCTCTTTTGCCAGGAACATTTGCACATAATAGTTTATCCAAGGGCCTTTTTTGGGGGTGGGGAGGGGGGGGGAGGGGGTATTCTGGGGCACTCGAAAATAGAAAGGGTTTTTCCGCAAAATACCGAAAGCCAAGAAAGATCTTTAATAAATTCTTAACGAACCCTTTAAATGTCACAAGTAGTCTAACTATTTAATTTACAATTAACAGCACTTTTTATCAGGAGGAATTATAAAACAAGAGCACAAGCTATAATGATCTGAAATAAATATTCTTTTATTCAATAAAGAGTTTATTTACAAAAGTGTTTGCGCACTTCTAACTATCATCCGAGTCGATCATGCACCAGAGCAAAAAATTCTCAACAACCTCCCTCGAGAAGAATGCTATCTGTTGGCAACTTGACCACTTCACCATCAAGTAAAGTCAAACTCGAGTAAGTGTTTATGTTACCTTGGACATCGCGAGCATCGACATTTTCACTTTTTCAGTTTCAAAGGAAATATTTCATAAAAAGTGAACTGTCAAGTGCAAGACGTAATCATTTGAAATTTTGGTAATGTTAGCTTGTTTATTATTTTTATTATTATTTTCTACAAAAGGGGAGTTTTTGGTAAATTCCGTCATAGAAGTAATCATCATAGTCACTCCTTTTTAGAAATTGAGGAAAATAGTCTTCCGCAAGTACATGATGATTTTTTTTCCGAAGACATGATTTTTACATCCCTTTTTGAAATTTTCTCGGCAACCTTTAGTTCATGATAGCAGCCACTAACATTGTCCAACATTGCATGTATTTTTGGTCATACGTGTCAAAATGAAAAACATGCAATTTTGATGAAAAAAAGTCCTTGGAAAAAGAATGCTAAAAAGGATCATCGGCCGATACACAGCTGCTGACGGCTTTATGGTACAGCGCAGCTTCAGGCATAAAATGACCTCAGGAGATATCAAAGGTCTTTCACAAGTTCGTCCATGTTATGTTCTACCGCTACTAGCCTAGCTTTGTCCATAGATCTTAGCTGAAGTAGAAGTTGAATAACTTTCTTGATGCCACTCCTAAGAAAAATAGCAAAAAGAAATACATATGGTAAAATCA